GAATCTTTGAGGGACTACATGCAGCGATTTAACAAAGCTACTTTAGATATCGATAACGTCCCTGATACCATCTGCTTGTCTGCCCTGCTGCACGGTCTGAAACGTGGCAGGTTCTTAGATGACCTACTGGAAAATCCACCAAAGACGTGGAACGAAGTCAATGACAGGTCAGCTAGCTTTATACTATCGGAGGACTTTCAGTCGTCGAAGCGACGAGCTGATGACAAACAAAGCAAAGGCCAGGAACAGATACCAAGAAGAGAGGATAGGAAAAAGCAAAAAGTCAATGAGCCGTGGGGGAAGCCAGCTGAATTCCCAAAATATGCTAACTACGTCCCTCTGACCTTGCCAAGATCTCAAATCCTGGCACAAATCCAACACTGGATTAGAAGGCCCCCACCCCCGTTGCACGATTCCCCGAGAGCAGACAAGAGCAAGCATTGTGACTATCATCGTGTATACGGTCACAACACCGAAGACTGCCAACACTTAAAGGACGAGATGGAGTTTTTGGCTCGCACTGGGCAATTAGAGGGGTATGTGTAGAAGCCTCATACCCAGCAACCGACTCAAACTCACTTCGTGCAGGGGTATGTCCGCCCTCAGGGGCAGAGGTACCAGCTCGGTAACACACAGGGCGTGTATCCAGACAACCAATATCCTTCTGAGCAAGGTAGAACGTACAGGGGCCGCCAATTCAATAGGCGAGGCCAAGGTCAGGGACCTGTCACTCAAAACCAGAAAGATAGGAGAGGAGTCGGGTGCAGTGCGATACCCCCGCCGTCTGGCACGATCAACATGATCTCTGGTGGTATGCACTCAGGGGGCTAAAGTGCCCGGGCACGCAAGGCATACGCCCGACAGGTGATGACGGTTAACAAAAACAGGCCTCTGAAGCGACCATTCGAGGAGGCGGAGTGGGAGAGCGCACCCATTACATTCAGCCCGGCAGATTACAAGCGACCAGATGGAGAGCCCGACGTCATGATGCCACATGCGGATCCTTTTGTGGCAACGGTTCATATAGGCAACCATAATGTCAATAAGGTCTTCATTGATACGGGTAGCTCACCAGATATCCTGTACTGGAGTTGCTTCCAGAAAATGCAGCTAAATCCCAGCTCGCTGCAAAAGCACGAAGGGCCTATATATGGGTTTGACAATCAGCCCGTGCCGGTTGAAGGAGTAATTACCCTTCCCATCTATGTGGGCTCGGAACCAAGATTCAGAATGGCTTCTGTCACTTTCCTGGTCGTCAAGATGGAGTCAGCTTTTAACGCTATATTGGGAAGAGCCACTCTCTGCGAGCTGAAGGTTGTCATATCACAACCCCATCTTTGTATGAAATTCCCAACCCCTCAGGGGGTAGGAGTACTCAAAGGAAATCAAAAGATGGTCAGAGCGTGTTATCAAGACACATTTAAGAAAGTGGAGCTCGTCGTAGCCTTGAGAGGCTCTGAAAATAGTCAACCGACTCAGCCCGGTCAGCAGACAATGAGCATATCGGACATTGAGCATAGACCCGAGGGAGTCGAGCAGAAAGCAGAGCCGGTAGAGCCAGTCGAAACCGTTCCTTTAAACCCTGATGTGCCGGAAAGAACAGTCAAGATCAGCACTAAGCTCACAAAAGAAGAACGAGCAGAGCTCTTGGAGTTTTTGAGGGTCAATCAAGATGTGTTCGCGTGGACTACTGATGAAATGCCTGGCATTCCGGCGGAGTTGACAGTCCACAAACTCAGCACAGATCCCACCAGAAGGCCGGTGGTGCAGAAACGTCGCCTTTTTGGCCCGGAGAAGCAGGCTGCCATAGACGAGGAGATACGGAAGTTGTTACAGGCGGGTTTCATTAGGAGAGTGGAGTACTCCGAGTGGGTATCCAACCCCGTGCTCGTCAAAAAGCCAAATGGCAAGTGGAGGATGTGTATTGACTTCACTAACCTCAATGACGCATGTCCAAAAGACCCTCATCCCTTGCCAAATGTGGAGAAATTAGTGGAGCGGGCAGCTGGGCATGAACGGATGAGTTTTCTTGACGCCAGCTCGGGCTATCACCAGGTTCAATTGCTATTGAACGACCAGGAGAAGACAGCTTTTTACGCTGGGGATGCAATCTACTGCTATGTCATGATGCCGTTCGGCCTCAAAAATGTTGGAGCAACATACCAGAAGCTGGTGCAAATCATCTTTAAGCTCCAGATCGGCAAAAACATAGAAGTATATGTGGATGACATGATAGTCACCAGTATACGAGCTGAGGATCACATAGGCGACCTGGATGAAACTTTTCAAAACCTGCGCCGAGCCCAAATGAAGCTGAACCCTTTGAAATGCACGTTTGCTGTGGAATCAGGGAAATTCCTAGGATACGTGGTATCCAAGAAGGGGATTGAAGTAAACCCAGAGAAGGTCCAGGTCGTTCAGCAGATGGAGCCACCCAAGACCGTGAAAGACGTACAGCGTCTGACAGGTCGGGTAGCTGCGTTGCACAGGTTTATAGCCAGATTGGCAGAAAAGTGCCTTCCATTCTTCAAAGCTCTGAGGGAGCCTAAGAATTTCCATTGGACTGTTGAATGTCGACAGGCGTTTGACGAGCTCAAACAGTACTTAGCATCCCCCCCTTTGCTGTCCAAACCTGTCGATGGGGAATGTTTATATCTTTATCTGGGGGTCACCGAAGAAGCAGTGAGTTCAGTGCTACTGAGGGAAGAGAACAAGAATCAGAAACCTATCTGCTATGTGAGCAGGGTGTTACAAGGTGCCGAGCTGAACTACCCGCTAACGGAAAAGGCTGCTTTTGCTTTAGTCTGCACAGCTCGTAAGCTGAGGGCTTATTTTCAATCGCATCAGATTGTCGTCTATATTGATTTCCCGCTAAGAAAAATATTACAGAAGCCAGAACTCTCTGGTCGGCTGATCGGATGGAGTGTCGAGCTGAGTGAGTACGACCTGAAATTTCAGCCACGCACAACTATAAAAGGCCAAGCTGTAGCAGACTTCTTGGTCGAATGTGTCCCGGCAGCTGTGAAGGAAAAGGCACCTGAACACCCAGTTTGGGTTTTATATGTAGATGGGGCGGCTAATGTCGAAGGATCGGGTGCTGGAGCGGTGTTATTGGGTCCTGATGGCTTTAAGACCGAACACGCGCTAAGGTTTAAATTTCAGACGACCAACAACGCTGCAGAATATGAAGCCCTCATCTACGGACTGAAGTTGGCGTCCGAGCTGAAGGTTCAAAACATTCAGGTTTTCAGCGACTCTCAGCTCGTTGTGGGCCAGGTAAATGGTAGTTGTGACATCAGGGATCCCCAGCTCGGTCGTTATGCCTCCGTGGTCAACAGATTGAAATCGACATTTGTTCTTTTCCAAATTGATAAAATACCAAGAGCGGATAACCACCGAGCTGACGAGTTGTCAAAGCTGGCTTCCTCGCGAGACCTTAGCCCTCACAGATCGACAATTGTCGAGACGCTTGACACCCCGAGCTACGCCGATTCCATAGTCGAATGCCAGCTGCTGAGCACAGACCCCTCTGCGCCGAGCTGGACCACCCCGCTCATAAATTATCTGCAGAATGGTGAGCTACCTGAAGACCAGGCCGCTGCAAAATTGATTAAGCGCAGGTCGGCACATTTCACTTTGTTAAATAACCAGCTCTATAAACGAGCAGCCTCAATGCCACTGCTACGCTGCCTTACTCCTTATGAAGCCGAATACGCCGTCAGGGAAGTTCATGAAGGAGTATGTGGCACACACATAGGCGGTAGGACTCTAGCTCGGAAGCTCCTGAGGCATGGATATTACTGGCCAACCATGGTTGAGGATGCGCAGAGCTATGTAAAAAAATGCCCGACCTGCCAGTTCAATGCTGATGATATTCACATGCCAGGTATCTGAGCTCGTCCTAAAGTTCATGCAAGCTTCATGTCTAATTATACGCTAAGCATAAGTACCTTTGTGAAAATAGGGGAAATGCTATCATCTCTTACATCTCTCTGGCCCTTTGCTCAATGGGGTGTCGACCTGCTCGGCCCTTTCACCAAAGGCAAAAGAGGCTGCACCTTCCTGGTCGTTGCAGTGGATTACTTCACTAAATGGATAGAAGCCAAACCATTGTCCACGACAACGGAAAGGAAAATAGAAGAATTCTTGTTCAATTCAATATTGTGCAGGTATTCTTCCGTCGCTTAAGTCGTAAGTAAATTATATGCAAACGCAGTTCCTTGCTCAGTTCGGTCATCTGTGTGCAGATTCGGCATACCTAAGAGGATTATCGCCGACAATGGGCCACAGTTTCGAGCAGCAGCACTGAGGTCGTTCTGTGACGACTATGGCATTGAGCTCTCGTTGACGTCTGTATACACCCCGCGGTCAAACGGACAGGCTGAGTCCGCCAATAAGATAGTTTTGCGAGGCCTCAAGACACGTGTTATATCCGCATGTTCTAACCGGGTTGACGAGCTCAATAAAGTGCTTTGGTCATGTCGCACAACGCCCAGCTCGGCTACGGGCGAAACCCCGTTCAGCCTGGCATATGGAGCTGAGGCCGTCGTCCCTGTCGAGGTCGGGCTGCCATCTGCTAGATCAGGTCATCATGACGACCAGAATAATAGGCAGCTCATAAGAGAAAACCTAGACCTAGTGGAGGAAGTCAGAGAAATGGCTCGAATTAGAAACATGGCACACCAAGGCAGTGTTGCAAGATTCTACAATAGAAGGGTCCGAGCTCGTCAGTTTCAGGTTGGCGATCTGGTATTACGTAAGGCTAGATTAACTAACACATACTCCCACTTGGGCAAGCTCGCTCCTAATTGGGAAGGTCCATACATAGTTGCTCAGGTTAACCGACCTGGATCTTACGTATTAGCAGATATGAACGGGCGCCAGTTACCGTTCACATGGAACGTTCAGAACCTTAGAAAATTTTACAGTTGATTTGTATTATCGTGGAAAATTTGCATAATGTATGAGCAATTATTGGAAATAGTACACACAGTTTTCCAAAATTCGTTTCAGTTGTATTCTTTGCAAATTCATTACATGGGGTGTCCATGAAACTACAAAATGTGTTACCAACAAAGAAATATTGAAAATACACAAGTATAAGAAACAGAAAAAGCCTAAGTCTAATCGTCCGTTAAGTCTACGGGAGCGGACGCGTCAGCACGAGCTGGGAGGGAGGCCACAGCAGAGGCGGGCTGAGGCGCAGGAGGAGTACTTGAAGGTTCAGCTTCTTCTACAGGAGCATCACCAGCCCAGGTGTCGAACCTTGGCAGGTTCTCAAACTCCTCTCCTTCTTCAAGGACAGACGGTGGCCATGTTGGCAATCCTTCTTCGTTCAGCTCCCACCGGAGCCTCACCGTCATGTCAGAAGGTTCAGTAAGGCTCTTCCCTTCTGCGTCGAACTCTTCACCTTCAAAAAACGCGAGCTCGTTGATCGGGAAGTCCGGCCGGTGCTTCAACACCTTACCACGAACGTCATTGTAGATCTCAGTTGTGGTGTTCATGGACGCCACAGCTACGGCGTCCTGGAACATGTCAGCACCTACCAGCCATTCTGTGCCTTGAGCTCGCGCGATGATAATACAGCGCTGGTGTTGAGCTTTGGCCTGCCTTAAAGACTCCTCTGCGCGACCAAGATTCTGATTGGCCACAGCAACCCGCCCCCTCAGGGCGTTGAGATCGTTCAGCGCGACATCTCTCTCAGCTTCCACCTTTTTCCTGAGATCCACTGCGCGAACGACCTCATCCATGGCCGCTTGAATCCCACTCTCCTTCTCAGCTTTCACCTTATCCAGCTCCTCCTGCAGCTGGGTGACCTTGTTAGCCAGCTCGTCAGCCCGGCTTTCGGCTGATGCAGCCCTATTGGCCATCTCTGAGCTTTGCAAACGGTTCACCTCGTCCTCCAAACTCGCCTTGTCTGAGGACAGCCGTTTGCAATTGTCAGCCAGCTCTCTATTCTGTATTCGAGCTACTTGCTCGCTCTCGAATAAAGCTACAGAATAGCTTAGCGCCTGCAACATGTCTGCAGTCAGTTTTACTCCAAAATTACAATAAAAAATGTTCATCAAGCAAAATACTTACATCCATCATCTTCAGCATTGCAGCGTGAGTCCCGTGCTGCTGAATGTAGCCTTTGGCACGATGACGGTCCACAGGAGGGACGAAATTCTGCATACCCTGGACCATCACGAGCTGACAGTCGGGTTTGGTGTAGCTAAAACCCTCAGGGTATGCGATTCTAGGCCCCCCACTAGCTACTGGTGGTGGAAGCGCCTCAGCTGCGCTACGCGCCTGGACCGTAGGCGCCTCAGGTGAACGCACCACTCCAGGTTGTCTCCCAGCATCCAACCTGCGCCGGGTTAGTGGTACATCATCTTCAGCGTCAGATTCTTCACGAACGCGCCTCCGTAGATCAGCAGGAGCGGGCTCTACCCTACGCTCGGCCTGTGGCCTCGAGACCGAGCTGGAAGCCTGTTCCCTCTGTGCCGAGCTGCGAGGTGCTGCAGGCGGCAGCTCGTCAAAGCGCGTTTGCCTCCTCGCGCTTGACCCAGTTCCCCTACCTCGAGAGCGCTGAGCTCGTTCCCGTTGTCTCTCAAGCATGCTACTCATCTCTCCTGCACAAACACGTGTAATAAGACTCAGCTCGTGAAAAAAGCAGTTGACAATAGATTTGTACCTTCACTAAACAGGTTTGCGATATCCACAAACCCACGCATAGCGAGCAGCTCGGGGGTAACCAGGGCTTCCAAATCAACTAACCCCCCTCCCTTCACACAATTGGTGATCCTATCCCTAAGCTCCAGGTCGCCAGGGGTTAATGTGGGGTAGTTCATGTACGCGTGCCCAGGGCGCCACTCAGAAAGACGAGCTGCCAGATCGGTGCTAACCCTCTCTGCTCGCGTATCCCGGACAAAGATAAATTGTCTCTTCCAACGAGACACTTTATTCCTTATGTTCTTAAAGACCGCCATTTTCTCTCACCCAGAAATGTAGTACCACCTCGTCTGTGTAGTACTCAGCCGGCACAAAAATAGCGATCTGAAAACAATGGCCTTCGCAGGTATCTGCAACCTTGCACACAGCAGCATAAAACCTACAATAAATTTTATACTGTTGGGAGTCAACTGTGTGAGTGCCAGCTCGTACTTTGACAGAATGTCAAAAATCAGCCCCGATAATGGGAATCTCAGGCCGGCGTCGAAATGATCCACATATACAGGTATCCACCCTGTGCTGACACACTGCAGGCCCTTTCATTTTTGGTTCCTGTTCGTAACAAAACTGTCCTAGGAACGTGGTACTGTCTCACCACTTCCTCCAGTCTCTTATACCCTTTAATGGAGGTAGGGCAGTCTGCTACCTCATGATGCAGGTTCGCCCTAAACCGAAATCCGGCCGTCAGCGTATTTGGCGCTTTGCGAAGGTTGCTCAACCTACCACTTATGGTTTTATTTTCCCAACCTGCAACCGGAGGCAAATTCACGGCCACCTCCATACTTTCCGGCGAGGGGCTACCTGTACTGGCAGTGTTTTCGGATGACGACCCTTTAGATGACGGAGCGGGGTCTGCGCTGGAACCCTCGCGCGCACCTGAACTGGCACTCATCTCCGGCGTAGGGGTTTCCGGCACGTCTTGCAGTTTCGGTGGCACAATCATGGTAATGGGTTCTACGGCTATTACGTTCCCTTCCCCTTCCATACCCTGGTTACCCCGGAGTTCTCCTATTTCGCTAACAAAGTCCATTTCTTATTACCTGAAAAGTTAACTCTGAGAAACTGAGAATGTCGCCTGAAAATCTCGGACGTCCTTTGACACAGAGAAATGCAGAGAATATGGAAATGGAATGCAAAAGTAAGGACAAGGGTGACAGAGGGGTTAAGTGACCGTTCTCATCATTACTGTACACACCTCCCTGGTAACCAACCAAAATTGTACACGTGGCAGGCACTTATTGCTTGTCGCGTAACGTCCGCCGACTTTAACAGTCACGTCTCTTCAAACGTTGAGCCAGCATTTATTAGGGGGGGATTGAGAATACTAACCGCTCTGAACCATATCTCTTTAGAGATTTCGCAAATTTAAAATTCAAAAAGTGGCAAGGACCAGCTCGTAACAAAAATCTCCTTAGAGATCTGCTCTAATTGGAAATTTGAAAAGTTCGAGAAATCTGCTCGTAACTGATTCGTGAGCTCTCCAAAAGCTCCCAGCTCGTAACAAAATTTCCTCCGAGAAATCTGCTATTCGTGAGCTCTCCAAAAGCTCCCAGCTTGTCACAAAATTTCCTCCGAAAAATTTGCTCGTAACTGATTCGTGAGCTCTCCAAAAGCTCCCAGCTCGTAACAAAATTTCCTCCAAGAAATTTGCTCGTAACGGATTCGTGAGCTCTCCAAAAGCGCCCAGATCTAACAAAATTCCCTCAGAGATTTCAAACGTGATCAGGTCGTAACAAATTAGAGACTTCAAGTTTGAAACTCTGTCGAGATCAGATCGTAACAAATCAAAGATTCACCTTAATGCCAAGCATCAAACGTCAGATCAGCTCTGCCCCTTCATATTTATATTACGGTTATGACTAACGTCACCCATATCAGCCCGCTCGGGTCATATGCTTTAGCTCGTTCACTATACGCTAGCTCATTCGAACGAGATCGCCCAGGCGCATCTGCTCAGCCCGCTAATCGCACTGAGCTCGCCTTGCCGGACCACCCGCTTACTCGCGCTGGCCCTGCAGGAGGTCGGCAAGCAACCACTCTGGTCTCACGCTGCCCAGATCGGCCATCCATGAGGCCGGTCAGGAACACAAAGTATCACTCTTCATCCACACGATCAAACACCACGCTAACGAGTCTCCCAACCCAGTTCGTCAACCGAACACCGAGGGGGGAGTAGTGTTGGGATAAGGCCCAACGCCCTCTTAGGGCCACACGTAGCAGGCCCAACTACACACCCACAGGCCCAGGAGGAGGAGACATACTCACATGGGCAGCACCACGTGGGCCAATGAGAGGCTTACATGTGCAGAAACATGTCAGCACTTGGGGCTATAAATACCCCCCAACCACCTCCGAAGAAGGTAATTAATCTCTACACTTCTCTCTCTGCAATTACTCCTTGAGAGCATCTCTCTCTAGAACACTGAGTATTGCTGACTTGAGCGTCGGAGTGTCTTCCCCGAGGAAACAACCTCGGGATTTTCAGGTGTAGAAGCAGCTAAGGACTTCAACAGTGTTGGACTGCGAAGCTGTCGAAACATTTCTTTACCAGAATCTGCGAAATGCATTTGGGCCCTAATCCGCGCCCACTCCAGCCTCTTATCACCCACTCGTGATCTGTAGTTGGCATGGAAGTCTCTGCAAATCTGTTTCAGTTGGAGGGAGATCGAGATTTCGCCGAATCGCCAAGGCTTCTCGTGAACAGCACCTCCGTCGCTGACTGATAGATCAGGCCTCATTTTCTCCCGTTCTGCTGCTCACTCGCCGGTGTGGATTATGCCGGCCCGTGGAAATGCTTCGGGTGGGTGGATGCGAGATGGAATAGGGGATGAAAAGAGAGGATTCGAAGGAGAAAAGAGTCAAGGATGAGAACCCGGTAGAGAAGAAAGGTTTTGGGAGCCATGGGAGATGATGATGACGACCGGAGAAAGAAAGAATGTTGCCGGCAAATTTGAATAAGAGGAGAGTCTGCACGGGAAAGAGAAAGTGAGAGAGAAAAAGACTTAGGAAACTGGTGAGATGAAAGGATTTAGAATCCATAAAGAACGGTGACGATGGTGATCGGAAAAAAGGAAGAAGGGAAAAAAAGAAGTAAGGAAAAAAAAGATGGCTGTTGGTTACTTTAAGCCTGTATAAACACTAGGCAGATCTTAAATTCACTCTAAACAAATATTGGTAGAAAGATATTTATTTAAAAAATAAAAAATAAAAAAAAATTTATTTTTTTAAATTATAAATTAATATAAATTATTTTTTTTAATGTTTTTTTGTTAAAAAATGTTAACGTGATAAATAAAATTTTGATATTTTTTGTTAAAAAAGATATGATTTGTATTGATTTATGATTTGAAAGAGTAATTTATTTATTTTTTTTCTAGAAGTGAATGTGTTCCTACCTATATTTTTTAAGGATGAATTTAAGAATTTTACCAAAAACTAGGGAAGAAAGGAAGGGAAAGGGAGGCTAAGGAAAAAGAGGACAATTTAAAAAAAGGATATTGTTAATATTAATTTTGTTTAAATAAATAAAAGTAAAGAGGAGAAATTGATAATATTTTTATTTGTTTAAATAATTTAATAAAAATAAAATAAATAAGAATAAATTTTTTTAAAATTTATTAATTAAATAAATAATTAAAATAAAATATTTATATATTTATTTAAAAAATTTAAAAATAAAAATAAATTAAATAACGTAATTATCTAAATCCCTTTAAATTGAAAAGATTAAAAAATCAAAGAGGAAGGGAGCTCTCTCTCTCCATCTCCTCTCTTTTCATTAAAATTTTTTATCTAAACAAATGAAAATATTCTCTCTCTCGCACCCTCCTCTACTTCCCCTCTAACTTCCCCAATCCATAGAGTGTAAAGATGGGGAGACTCTGCACAGGGAAGAGAGAGACCGAGGGTCTGCGTGAGGAAGAAGAGTTAGGCCCTTTTTTGTTTGTTTTTATGTTTGTATGAAACGGTGAGTATTTAGAGATGGAGATAGATTGACTACTGGGGTCAACTGGGCCTAGGCCTCTTTCATTAAATTGGGCTAGTGCTGGATTGGGTTTGACTTAAATAAATAGCTAGTAGGCTCAACATTGGGGTTTGGGCTAGATTTACAAATTTGTCTTGATGAATTTCACTCTCTAACTTTTAATTTCTTCAATTGAATCCTTTGTTTCAATTTCTTTTCCCACCTCTTTGTGAAATTCCTTTTTTGCTCACAAAAACCTAACAATAAAAGCAAAACAAAATGCATTAGTTAAAATAAAGATTTTATTAAAAATTTGAATTATGACAGTTAC